TAGGTTCCTTAAGGGCCGCTTTAAAGGGATCTATAGGGATTCTATAAGGATACGGTATAGGGTTTAGGGTTCAGGGTTTTACTTGGAGGGTCAGGGGACTTAGTAAGTAGTGATTTTAGGGACTTATAGGTACCATAACCCCAATTAGGGTCCCTTTTAGGGTACTTATAAGTCTACTTGCTAAATACTTACTAAGTCCCCCGACCCTCCAAGTAGGGTTTAGGCTTCGTGTTTAGGGTTTAAGCTTTAACTTACGGTTTAGAGTGGCGTGTCTGAACAGTCATCACCGCAAAAAGCCATCAAAGCTTAGACGAGCTTCTTGGTTTACGCGCTGGAGACCTGGCCCATCTGTTTGCTTTGGCTTTAAAGACCTTGCAGTTTTTCACGAAGACTTTTGGTCCGAAGAGTCCGGACACACAGGGACCTGATAGCTAGTACACATAGGCCCCATAGTACGTAGTTTTTTTTGAGGATTACCTTACGGCGTTCTGAATATGAACCCCAAAATGAACTACTATGGGGCCTATGGGTAATGTAGTACACGATTACTGATAATGTAGGAACCTGATAAAGAGACCCTGTTCGTATAATTCCAATATAGTAGAGAGCATATAAGGAACCCCAATAAAGGCCCAAGGTTTCTTAATCAGGTTCCCCACATTATGCGGTAACTGATAATGTATACCATAGGGAACGATATTGTGTAATCCGCTACACTACACTGTTTGTGTTAGAATATACAGTGATGGACTGTAGTAAACCCTACTTAGTGTCTCTAAATCATGGTCCTCAAGACTACACGTGGAGTATAAAAACCTCCAACAGTTTTCTAGCTATTCACGCTTCCATGTTACGAGCTGTAGACTCTTGAATACTCAGCACTCAGCACCCGTTTTGAACTGTATAGGCCCCTTAAAGACCCCTTTTCAAGCTTTTCAGAGAAGCACTACAGAACCTTTACACAGCCTACACGGTATTTGTGGCTTCCGTTGCAATACGGTTCATGGTTTTGGGTTAATAGGGGCTTGCGGCTTAGGGATCGAGGTTTGAGCTTTAGTAGCTTTAGGGTTCAGGGTTTTCAAGTCGAAGGGGTGATGAATCCGGGCACCCCATGCTAGTACACCTCACGCTAGAAGCCCAGTCACCTACACAAGGGGTTGCACTTGGCACCTTGAAGCCCGAACTCTAAGCCCTAAACCCTAAACCCTAAACCCTAAACCCTAAAACCCTAAACCCTAAAACCCTAAACCCTAAACCCTAGACTCTGAACCCTAAAGCCCAAGCCCGAGACCCCAAACACCCTGAAGCCCAAACCCTAGGCTCTACCTGTTAGTGAAGATCTCATCTGGAAGCACCGGGACTTTAGCCTTTTACCCTGCCGATACTTGGCTTGTAGGGCCAGGCCCTAAGCCCTACAATTTTGCAACCCTACACCTAAACCATAAAGTTAAAGCCGGAAGCCAAGGGTCTTCTATGGGGTCGAGCAAGTAATTCACAGAATCCCTCCATAGTCAATATTGTAAAGACAGTGAGAATATACCCCAAGAAGCTATTCCCAAGAAGCTCTTCTAAATTTTGAGGCACCTACATATATATATATATATATATGTATATATACGTTATAGCTCTTCAAGCCATCTTAGGCTCCAAACCCCTAGGTGTCTATAGTAACCTTAACGGAACTCTGCAAGCACTACAGCTCCTAAAGCATTCTTGGGACCTAAACCCCGAATCTTGAAACCCGTTCTAAAGCCCTACAACCCTAGACCCCCAAAGCCCTAAACCCGTAAAGTCCTAAAGCCCTACACACATAAAGCCCTAAAGCCCTAAACCGATAAAGCCTAAACCTGGAATCTTCGGAACTTAAGAGAGAGCCACAAAGCTTTTGGCTGACAAATTTTCGCTGCATGCCGCCAGCTGCTCTGACCAGGTGCCTCTAGGGTTTTAGGAGTTTAGGGTGTGGGGGTTAAGGGGTTCGAGTTTTACGGGTTTAGGATTTTGGGCTTTAGGGGTTTAGGGTTTCGGGTTTAGGAGTTTCAGGCTTTAGGGCTTTAAGCTACCGGGGCGTTAGGGTTGTAGAGTTTTGAGGTTTAGGGTTTCGGGCTTAGGCGAGCCTCTAACTGCAGCTGTGAGCCCACACAAAGGGCCCGAAAAGTTCTTGCTTGTAGGAAACTTATAGTAGCTGAGTGGATAGACTTTACGCTTTTTGGGATAATACTACCCAGTATAAAACTGAAAGTGTACACTTTTTAAGGGCTTATGAACTTAGCAACTAGGGAAATGTAGAATATCTTACGGTGTGAGGCTCTTGGCTGAGGGTTCGAGATGAGGGCTCATGTGTTGACCCTCGGAAGATGCAAGTTGAGGTTTCAGGGTTGGAGGTGAGGTTCAGGAGGTGGGGAGGAACGGTATTGAACTCTAAGAGATCAGGCTCACAGGCCCTGATTTGTACTTGTCTTGCTTACTTGACCTACTCTCTGGTTCTAGCATGCAGGATCCTACCAGGACCCTCCTTGTACCCTCAAATAGGGGTATATGGTCCCAAATAAGGGGCATTTAGGGCCTAATAGAGGGTAGATGGAGGGTCTAGGTAGTCATAAAATTTAAAACAGGTTGTCCAAAAGAAGGTACTGCAGTTCAGCTAGGGAAGAGTTGAACTCCCCGCCCCCGTCCCTTGAGACCGTGGAAGAGCATCTGATGGCTGCACCAAGTGGTTTAAGCCCTGCCACAGTTACACTCTGTGACGACCTCCGATTGAGGGTTCCGGTGTGAGGCGGCCGGCTCGCCCTAGCGTCCACTACGATTTTCTGTTTTGCTGTTGCATGTATGTAGAGGCCAGAGGTTTGGCTTTGGGACAGCAGACTTGGGATGGTTGGCAAAAAATCTTGCTGTTGAAGAGAGTGAAAGAGTGAAATCCTGACAGTGGGGTCGAGGGGGCCCGGGGTCTAGGCTTCGCTACCTGAGTCAATGGGAAAGTTATTTTGCTTTCTGCGGTTTCCCTAGTTGTTGAACCCTAAACCCTATAAACCATAAACCGTAAACGGATGCTGCATATTCTAAACTTCTAAACCAAAACCCTCATGGATCGAACTTCTCTTTAAGGCGGGTCAGCCGCCACTCTGGACAGTAGGAGGCTACTTAGACTGAGTAATGAGTAAGTATCCTAAAGGTCCAAAAACACCCAACAGTATTTAGAGTTTCGTAACGCTTCCGTAAGATTGTTTTGAAGGTTTTCAGGGCTTAAACGACCCAATATCTATCCATCGGATGGTCGTAGCCTAGATTAGTATGTGGGTACTTGTCAAAATTATGGTCCCTTTTTGGGCACCGTAAATATTAGGTGCCGTATTATAGTAAGGACCCGAAAAGGGACGATAATTTCGACAACCACCCATGTAAATGATCACTTGGTACGTCGACCCTACAGGATAGCCCAACTTCGGGTGCTTGAAGCCCCCCGTTATGCATGACCTACCAAGGCCCTCTGAACGTATCTCCGATTGTAGGATCCAGGGTCGAGGTACTTACTGAATGGCCTAACATCCTAAACCCTAAACCCTAAACCCCAGAGGTCCTAAAAGCCCAAATGTGTGAGCCGCATCTTGTTCTGATCCACTGGACGGGCTGTTCGCCGCGCTGCGATCCTCGATTTTGTGCGGAGCCGTTGCAAACGCCATGCTTGTGGTATACCCAGAGGCTCCATAGTAGTTCCTTTTTGAGATTACCTTATAGGATTCTATATATGAACCCCAAAAAAAACTACTATGGAGCCTTAGGGTAGAGTTTATTTCGGGGTTTCGGCCCACGTGCTGGGAGTCTAAGCCAAAGTGGAGTTGAAGGGCTCTAAATTGAGGATTTCGGTTTCAGGGTTCACGGGCTTCTTGTTGGGTTCTTAGGGTTCGAGGTTTAGGGTGCAGGGTTTGGGTTGGCGGCCTTGTTTTCGGTTTTCAGCTGTGACGCAAGCGATGCCGCGCCTGCGCCATGCTTGAAACCCACCTACAGGCCCCAAAACCTATAAACCCTTATGCCTCTGCCTGGTCGGCTCAAGACGGGAAGGGGGTTTCTAGTGAACACCTTGCATTCGTATTGCTTCGCAACCGAGAGGACGCTGAGTTCAAGGGTTTGCTTGGGGGCCCAGGGGACTTAGTAAGTAGGTTATAAGTAGGGTTATAAGTACCCTAAGAGGAGTTACCCCAGTTATAGCCCTACTTATAACCTACTTACTAAGTCCCCTGGGCCGGCAAGCGGGGCTTTAACATTAAAGTTAGCGCGGCATTCAAGGTGATGCTTCCTTCGGCTCGAGTATCATCCTCGACCAACGCTATCAATTCCACATGTCCTATCCTTCGCAATATAATGAACAGCTCGAACATCACCGTAGACCCATATTCCGTATATCCTCTACCCCCTATCGCACTAGTAGTCCATCTGCGCTCTCCCGGAGACTTCTTCCCACAACCGTCAACCCAGAACCCTTAAGCCCTAAACCCTAAACCGCAAGCCCCTCATTAAACCCTAAACCTTATTATAGTGTATGGAGAGTTGTAAAAATGTTGGTCCCTTTTTGGGTACCCTAAATATTAGGTGCCGTATCATAATAAGGACCCCCAAACGGACCATAATCTTGACAACCATTCATATAACTCCTAAACCCTAAACCCTCAACCGCAAGCCCCTAAACCCTAAACCCCTAAACCCTATAACTTATAAACCCTAACCCCTAAACCGTAAGCCCCTAAACCATTAAAACGCTAAACCCTATGAATCCTAAACCCTCAACCCAGAGTTATCCGCTACAAAAGGCTGCTTACATACCAACGCCTGAAGCAGAATCCCAGCGCGCCCTGAAATCCCCCAGGGTTTAGGGATTTTGAGGTTTAGGGTTTAGGGGTTTGAGGTTAAGGTCTCAGGGCTTAGGGGTTTAGTGGTGCAGGGGTATAGGGGGATTAGGGTTCAGGGGTGTAGGGTTTTAAATGTTCGAAACCTGGCCAGGACAGTTCATGTGCATCCGCAAGGATCAGTGGTCGAATGCTGCAGCAATCAAGCGTTCGATCTCTGACATCGACACTGATGCGCCTTGGCCTTCGAATCCTATGAAATCTTTGGGACCCTACACTTAGATCGGAAAGAAGTTACCTGAACAACGAAAGAGAGGCTACAAAAGCAACTGCTCGAATCATGAAGGCCCGTACATGCCTAAGACTAAACACCTGAGTCCCTTAATCTTAAACCTTAAACCCTCAACTCCTAAAACCTCAACCCCCAGAGCCTCAACCCCCTAAATCCCTAAATCCCAAAGCCCTAAACCCCTAAACCCCAAAGCCCCCTACTTCCTGAAGTCCCAAAACCCATAAATCCCTAAACCCTAAACCCTATAGATCCCTTTAAAGGAACCCCTATAGATCCCTTTAAAGGAACCCCTATAGATCCCTTTAAAGGAACCCCGATCTGAAGTCCCAAAACCATAAATCCGAATTTCAAGGCAACCCTGGAAGACCCAGTGCCTGCATGCCTTTCCTCCTGCGCGCGACTCGGCGAAACCCCCGGGCCCCGAGGTTGAGGGTTTAGGGTTTAGGGCCGACCCTACGTTGAATTAATAAGATAGGGTTTAGAACTTAAGGTTTAGAGCTTGAGGGTTTCGGGTTGTATGTTTAATTACGGCTTTCGGGTGTAGGGTTGAATGTTTAATTACGGCTTTAGGGTTTAGGGTTCAATGTTTAATTAGGGGGCTTCAGGGTTTAGGGCTTAATGTTTAGGGCTCTAGGGTTTGGGGTTCAAAGTAGGGGTCTAGGGGTTTTATAGAGAGTTCCTTCAAAGATGTAGGGTGGAGGAACATGGGACTGAGTAGAAACCCCGCTTGGCGACTTGGCCTTATTTTACATAGGGTACCCTAATGGGTTTCGGCTTTAGGGGTTTAGGGTTTAGGGGTTTAGGGGTTTAGGGGTTTAGGGTTTAGGGGTTTAGGGTTTAGGGGTTTAGGGGTTTAGGGTTTAGGGGGTTTAGGGGTTTAGGGGTTTTTTAGGGGTTTAGGGTTTTAGGGTTTAGGGTTTTTAGGGTTGGGGTTTAGGGTTTTAGGGTTTAGGGTTTAGGTTTAGGGGGGTTTTAGGGGTTTAGGGGGGTTTAGGGGTTTAGGGGTTTAGGGTTTAGGTTTAGGGTTTTTAGGGTTTAGGGGTTCAGGGGTTTAGGGTTTAGGGGTTAGGGGTTTAGGGGTTTAGGGTTTAGGGGTTAGGGGTTTAGGGTTTAGGGGTTCGGGGTTTAGGGGTTTGGGGTTTAGGGGTTTAGGGGTTTAGGGTTTAGGGGTTTAGGGTTTAGGGTTTAGGGTTTAGGATTTAGGGACCTTCTGATAAACCCTACTTGGACGATGATGGGACATAGTACGTAAGGTTACAAGCATCGTATATTCGAGGTTACCGTTCACATGACCCCCCAAGCCCTGAACCAATGAAGGCAAGTGGGAGATGCTTACGACACTCTTCTGAGGTTCCTTTGGGAAAGTCGCACTCCCCTGATGTTGCAAGTTCTCGCAGATACTTCAGCCCCACATGGGAGTTTTCGAAAATAGGAGATCCTAATATAGTACCCTAAATAGTAGGATCCTTATTATAAGGACCCCAATATAAGGTACCCTTAAATTTCGGAAACTCCCACATGGTGCGAACGAAGAGGAGCCCCCAATACAGGGCCTGAAGAGTTAGGGTTTAGGGTTTAGGGTTTCGGGTTTAGGGTTTAGGGTTCAGGGTTTCGGGTTTAGGGTTTAGGGTTTAGGGTTTAGGGTTTCGGGTTTAGGGTTTAGGGTTTAGGGTTTCGGGTTTAGGGTTTAGGGTTTAGGGTTTAGGGTTTCGGGTTTAGGGTTTAGGGTTTAGGGTTTAGTCCCCCGGAAGTAACCCTTTGCAGCCCCTGATATAGAGACTTGTCATAGAACGTCATCGATACTATCCCTCAGGGTTCCTTGGTACATTCATGCTTTTACTGGGTTCTTGTTAAAGGGTTTAATGATTTTCAGTTGCCATAATAATTATTTACCCTAGATCCCTATTATGTTATTATGGTAGCCTTAACTACAGGAACTCCCCCTAGCAAACACACGGTTTTTCTAAACCGAACTAAAAGCAAAGACCTCCAGGAGCGGTTCCGTTGGCTTTCCGGACCTGCCTGTACCGGCCACTTCGGCAAAAAGGAGGGCGCTAAGGTCTTGGGGTGGGTTCGGCCTGTAGGGCTTTTGGTTTTGGGGTTAGGGGTGTAGGGGTTTTGGGTAAGGGTCATAGGGTGTAGGGCTTTTGGTTTGGGGTTGGGGGTGTAGGGGTGTTGGGTAAGGGTTTTTGGGTGTAGGGTTTTTGGTTTGGGGCTAAGGGTGTACAGCTTGTGGTTTGGGGTTAAGGCTAAGGGTGTAGGGCTGCTGGCTTGGGGGGCTTCGGGATTTAGGGTTTAGGGTATAAGGTTGAAGAGTTTGCATGAGCTTAGCTTTGGCTGTTTTCTTTACGAACTCAGACTGCATACCTAGGGCTTACGGCTTAGGTCTCCAGGTTGCGGTGAGGATTTCGTATCCTACTGTTGATGATATAAATCCTGCATTACCGTAAGGACCCTAAACTATGGGAATTATGGTACATTCCTTATTATGGGTAATGCAGGATTTGTATCCCTAAACCTTAAATCCCTATAGATCCCTTAAGGGAAACCCTTAAAGGTACCCTTATAGATCCCTTTAACCGTAGGTCCATACCCAAACACGATCATTTAGCCCGTGTGTTGATGCTCAGGGGCCTGGTTCTGGCTAATTGGGATGAGTATATCGGGTTTAGGGGGTTAGGGGTTTAAGGGTTTAGGCGTTTAGGGTTTAGGGGTTTAGGGTTTAGGGGTTTAGGGTTAAAGGGTTTAGGGTTTAGGGTTTACATAGGGGTTTAGGGTTTAGGGTCCGGTATGTATATACACAAGCAGGAATGACAGGAGGTCTCTCAATAGGGCATAGTGGGCCCTTTCTAGCTTTCGTGGTCTTAGAGTCTTAGGTCCCTTATAAGACTGCCCAATACCAAAAAGTCCACTTGTTCTTCCTCGTTTACTGGGGATCCCGGAATGATAAGGGTGTTAGTTAGCAGTCTGTGGGCTTGTCGTTTTCTCATGGGCCTTTACACGATCTTGAAGGAGATTTTGCAAGACTGTGTGTTCGGGCCTACTGCTTTGCGCCACATCCCCAAGGCCGTACGCCCCAAGCTCCAACCCCCTAGACCTAGACGTCAACCCCCCAAAACCCCTAATGCACGGGCCTTCATACTTAGAATGGGGACCTCATAGAGACTATATCCGAAACTCCGAGCACTCTGAAACCGAGGCCCAGAACCCAAAGTCACGGATGACAGAAGCACCTTGAAAGACCCTAAAGAATCGCCACAGGGACCTTAATGAGGATGACGACCCTAAACCCGAAGCATAAATCGAGAGACTTGTAATTCCAAGGAGGAGGGCACAACTCTCGCAGACTCGCTCGACCGATCCCTGGCAGCAGTAAGCCTCGTGCGCTAAAATGCAGTTTATCGCCAGGGTTTGAGATTATGGTATGCAAAGGTGACACGAAGCCTGACAAGAGCGAGAGCAAATCAAGCACCCTCAGACTTGAAGCTTAAATCCCACAACCTAAACCGGTTCAGGGTGTAGGGTTTCTCAGGGTTTAGGGTCAAAAGGTTGTGGACCTTAAACCCCAAACCCCAACCGCATCTTGCTGCACGTGCCAAGGTGGGCTGCTAGCACGCCACTTGCCTGCCACTGCCGGCTTTTTGCCCTGGGATCTAGGGTCAAGATCAATCCTTGGATTCCGGGGTTTAGATTGAGGTCTAGGTTGTCTGGGTTTTGTTCTTTGTGACTGAACACCTGAACCCCAACCAAAATCTACTCCCGAAACCCAAAACCTAATCTGAAAGCACTGACCCTAAACACACACACACACACACCAAGTCCAAGCCTAAACACTTGAGGTGTCGACTTCGTGGTCTTGCGTTGCTGTTGGGTTTAGGATTCAGGGGCGGTGCCTGAGGTGAGTTCTGCGATCTACAGCCGGTAGGCAGCGGTGGCTACGGGAAGGCTGCGTCTTTCGGGCTTGACCCCGTCCGCCCTCTCTGCACCGTCAACAAAGGGCTTCACAGACTGTAGAAGGCACTGCAACGACCCTTGATGGATTTTGCCTTCGAATGCAGTACGTTTGTTTGGTGCCGTTTTTTCCAGGGAGACAGTAGCTAAATCAAGGTAAGCTTCCCAAAATGAAGTGTCTACTGCCGTTCAACTTGTCAGCACACTTATAGTAGAAGCCAGAAAGTTGGAATATGGTTTCGGGGTAGAATACTTTATAATTTACGACAAAGGGCTTAGGATAACCATATTCCAACTTTCTGGCTTTTACTGTAAACCTATTGGTCCCAAGCCTCACCCCTACCCTGAAGCTTAAACCCCAATCCCCCAAACCCTGCAGCTCAACAGTAAAGCCGATTACTAGGTAGGTCGGTGGGGCATTTTGTGTTTTCCGTTTGGGGTTTAAGAGGATATTATGTATTGTCTAACACTTTCAAAGGCTTTTAACGGGCTTTTATGTTTTCCGTTTTGGGGTTTAAGAGGATGTTATTACTAACACTTTCAAAGGCTTTAAACGGGCCAACCTAGATCTTTTTATCATCCGCTACAAACGCCATCCCCAAACTCGGAGCTGCGCGGCCTGGACAGAGTCTCCATTGTAGTTCTTTTATTTGGTTTAACCAAATATAGAATTAGGATCCTATAAGGTAACCCCAAAAAGGAACTACAATGGAGACTATACCTCGCGATCCTGCGAAAGCGGGCTGCGGCAGCTGTGCAGGATGGCGAAGCACATGGGAGTTTCCGAAATTACGGGTACCTTATTTGGTGGTCCTTATATAATAAGGATCTTACTATTTAGGGCACTATATAAGGGTCCCCTATTTTCGGAGAATCCCACATGGTCCTGGGGTGAGATGGATGGATACCATCGACATCAGACTCCCACTGAGTTTATCTTCTGCTGTGTCGATGGCAGGGGTGCAGGGCCACCGGCGGGCATCTGGAGAGCAGCAATGAATGGGGGACTCACGCTGGCGAGACCAACCACAGAAGGGGTAGCCAGAACAACAACCTGGGGTACAAGATCCTCCGGAGCAGAAGTGGCCGCAGTGAAAGCGGGAACGCCGCCGCCGTAGCTTTACCACTCGAGTTCCCTGGACCAGGACGATCAGGGCTTGCGTTTTGAGCTGTTGCCGCTTGGGCGTTCAATCTGATCGTGTCCAGTTGTGTCGATCGGATCCCGGCAATGAGGGAGGCCAGCCTCGCTAATTATAATGACAACTATCATACAAATAATTACCAAGAAGAGTGGTCATGAGTCATAGTCATAGTAACAACAATAGGAAATAGATGGGAATGAGATCAAGATTCTAATAATAACACTTTGTGTTAAGATTCGAGTCATGTTTGTAACACTCATGCCGGTACTGATACGAATAACAATAAAGTCAATACACGTACAATGAAATGAGCATGGTAATGCTCAGAAAACCAATAATAGTCGGAATAATAACAGTATATCTGAAATTAGGACTGATAAACAATACGACAATAATTCAAAAAGTAATGGAATTAAAAACAATGGCAATAGCGACATTAATCAGAAGAAAAAGAAAAAGAGTCACAATACGAATGCGAATAAGAATAAGAACAATAGTAATACTAGTACTGGTTTATTATACGAATATTCATGCTACTAATAACACGAATACAAGTACTGAAATTCATATTACCGCAGAGGAACAATTGCACCCCGTCTAATTTGGTGCATGTTTTCGCTCCACTGTCTCCGCCTTTGGTACGCGATGTCAGAAGAAGCCGCAGCAGCTCCTTCCGACATTCCTGTAAGGGAGCGAATCGACTTACCGTAGGCTCTGTCAGTACATGGGTGGACAGAAATGGACATACGTAGCAGTTACCGAAGAACAGAGTTGAAGGGAAAGCTGGTCAGCCCGCCACAATATTTGAAGCAAGAATGTGACGTTGCAAATGCTTCTGTCTCAGTGAAGTCTTCGCGCTTGTCCTCGCTTGCAATCTTTTGCATTCCAGGTGCAAGCCAAAAAGGATGATGAAGCAAGTCAAGGCAGAACCACGGCTAAGGCGAGGAAGTTGCATAAACGCCGTGCATTGCCCCTGCACGTCCTGTGAGTGTTGAGCAAGCTGAGGCGAAGCAGGCGGCGAGGCGTTTATCGGAGGAAGATTTGCAGAGCTTCGTAGTTGAGAAAGGAACAGCTGACGACTTGAGTCTTCGGAAAGCTTCGCAACGTTTTGAAGTTCTCCCATGTCTAACGATGCACCTTGCCGTGAAAAGCAGAGGGTTGCAGACTGCATTTGCCTTACTTGCAGAGTTATGTTGGGGATGTGTCTGAAAGTCAAAGCACGGTTCGTGCCGTTGGGGTCGGAAAGCAACGATTTCAGCAGCAGAAGCGCTTTAGGTCCTGGTAGCAACCCGCCGTCGGAGCATTGCAGTTTTTGGCATGCAGCTGGTTTGTTGACGCATTGGCCCGCGCCTGTTTGAGCACACCGTTCTGTGCCACATTTCTCCATGCCAATGTCGTACATTTCCCTAACTTAGGCCGATTGCAGGGCACTGCCGAGAACTTTGTGGCAGCCATCGGGTCAGCCAACAGCTACACCGGCACGCAGCTGGCCGACTACAGCACGACGCTGGAGATGACCCAGGCCATCTCCGACGCCCTCGTGCCCTACGGGACCGTTGTATGCCGCTGCCGCCGGCAGAAGATTAACATCTTCCTCAAATGCCAGGCCGCGTCCAAGCAGCAGCCACGCACCAGCCCCTTTTCATCAAAAAGGTTTATGCCGTGCTTGTTGACACGCATGGCATTGGCTACTGTATTGTCTGGGACACTGCCCACTTTTGTGAACGGCAGGGCTTCAAAGTTGCTGCAGGTGGCTCGCTCGAGACAGCCCAATTTGGGTCCGCAATTTGACACGGATCTCTCGACTGTTATATGGTTGAGCGACCGAGTATTGTTTTCACGCCGCTGTTCTGTTCGTTGCCGGTTATGGTGAGCCCGTAAAAACCCAAGTTGTTTGTCACCAAGTGATCCTGGGCGGGTATTGGTGCACATCATGCTGCGGAGTCTTCAGCGGCTTCAGTGATCTGGGCCACAGAAGCTGGCGCACAGGAATATGCCGAGAGGGGAGCCGTGAGCGCCTCTCTTGTTTTACTAACACAGGAGAGTACTAATAATGCTGCGATAAAGTTTTTTCTGACGCTGATACTGATACTAATGCTAATACTAAAACTAACAATCGTGGTACTTACAGTCTAGTCATTATGGTCGAATTATGTTGTTAGAAACAGTAATAGCACAGTAATCGCAATAGCAATAGCAATAGCAGGAGCAATAGCAATAACGATCATGGCAATAGTTACAATCGTGACAGTGGTAACATGTAACACTGCCAGTGATTGTAAGAAAATGAACGCAAACCAACATAACGATATTAGCAATCATGGTACGAGTATTAGCTGCAAGCAACTACTCAGCGTCAGAATCATCATTGTCATCAAGATAATGAAGCCGTATGTCTCAACTACTAGCCTGCATTACAACTGAGCACTGGTATCAATATATTCGGTATTTGGACCTTCACAGTATGGCCAAGGGCCTTCCATTGAAGGGGTTTAAGGTTTTGGGCAGAGGTTCATTCCGGTTTTTCGGTTTTCAGGCTTTCGGGCCTTTATGGTGTCCGGTCTGGCTCTGTAAACCTAAACCTGCAATCGTGGAATGCTCTCCTGAAGAGGTGGTCAAGGCGTGGCATCGAACTACGAAACAGCAGCGCGGCTGCCGTGAATTTGCAAGGGCTTGCGGTTCGGTGATTCCTCTACGTTTTCTATTGGGGTTCTATATGTGATATGTGTGTTGTTGTTTTGAAGGGTGGGGTGTGCCTTCAGGATGTAGTGCTTCAAGATTCAGCTATGTTGGTGTTTCTTTTCTTGCGTGTTTGCATCGGAGTCGGAGCAGGAGATCTACGGTTTACGGTTGTGGAGGCTTGGCATCAAGGTCCAGGATCCAACTCGGAAGTATGTTGCGGTGATGTGGGGGATTTTTGCAGTTAGGGTTTGGGGATCCTACTATCCATCTGACTACATAACATCCTAGAAGCAAAGCGCATGAAAGCTCCAACTTTCCCAAACCCCTAAACCCCAGCTAAACCCTGAATCCCTAAACCCCGAAACCCTAAAACCTAAACACCGAAACCATCCGAAACCCTAAACCCTAAACACCGTAAAACCCTAAATCGCTTCAGGTGGGTGGCCTTGAAGTTAATTCCCTTGCAACTTCGAGCCTCGGCGCCTGGGCAGCGAATGGGCCGCTTTGTGTTTTGATTTTTGTCTGTGGGCTTAGGGTTTAGGGTTTAGTATTTAGTGCAAGGTTTCGGGATTAGGATTCAGGGGGGGTTTGGTTTAAGGGTCGAAAGTGATTGCGAGTTTCCGTTTTAGGACCTGTTGTGGTTTGTCTGTGTGCGTGTTTGCTAAATGTTGGTGGTCGATCGCCTGCATGCAGTTTTCGGATACTCCCACATAGAACCCAACACCCAAAACCCGAAGCAGATGTTCCTAAACCTGGAACCCAAAACGAGAAGGCCTTAGGTCTTAGGTGGTTGACTCAAAAAGCTCGCATGAGGCGCAACTTTGTACCCTAGCCCTGGGGGCTGTCCTTTACTTTTGAACGTAGTTTCAGCCTGGTTCTTTGGATTCTTGCTTGATATTCTCACAAGCCCCAAAAGGTCATCCAAAACATGCACTGCAATTCCAGGTATAAAGACTTTGCAGAACCCTGAAACAAGTTACCCCCAAGCGTACACTGTGAACCCTCAACCCCACACCCTGAACCCTCTACACGCCTTGTATCGAGACTACTATGGAGCAAGCCAGCTGCCCTCAGCCCCAAACTTACTTAGGGCTTAGGACTTACTGTAGAACCTCAAAGACTGGACCACTCTCTTCGGTACCCTACATGATGCAGTGCACATGTCCGCAACCCCCAGTAGTTATAGTCTCCAATCCTCTCAACAACTTTTCGACTCAAACATTCAGCCTGAACCCTAAACACAAAACAACGAAAGTTTTTAGTACTTTTTTAGATTCCCTATAAACACAGAACAATGAAAGTGCTAGATCCGCAGGAAACCGTGGATGACAACAACACGCGTTGGAGCGGGCTCGAAGTTTTTCAGCATTTGCAGAAGTTGCGAAGTTCGAAGGCGGGAGGGCTCAGGGATCAGGGTTCAGGGAGATAAACGGTTTAGAGTTTAAGGGTTAGGGCTTTACGGTTTAGGGGTTTAGGGAGAGAAATGTCGAGGTTTGGATGCTAAGTGGAAGCATTCCTAGTGCTTTCCTTTTGGAACTCCATAGAATAGAAGGCTTCTACGTCAGTGCTTTGCATGGCCCTTTAAGGTCTGCCAGCTTTTTATGGATTCTGCTGGATGCTGGCTTGAAGGCTAGGGCTTTAATGTTTAGTGCCATTTAGGGCGGGCTATGGCTTTGGAGGTGGCTTAACTCTACACCTTGGCGAGCATGGGAAACCCCAAACAAGTACAGCATGTAAGGATCTTCAGAGCAAGTACGTAATGGGCCCCCAAACCCTTTTCCAATCATTAGGGCCTGCAAAGCCCACCATCGATTTGCTAAGCCCTGAACACAGAACAAGGCCCTCAACACAGCTCTTAACCCGTTTGTTAACCCGCATAAATCTCCGAAGCCCCTTGTATACCCTTCATCACTTTATAAAGCCCCCTTTACAAATAAAGAACATGAGATCCCTTACAGAACCTATAAACGCATGTTTTCTATTTTCAACGTCTAGAAGAGCCTACTATGAGGACCTTGCTACCTCTGGCCTTAACCAAACGGCCAGGTTATTCGTTACGGAAGGAGATGGTCTGAGCTTTCCCAGGACGGGCTGGTCTTCCTTACAGGTCGTGAAGGGCTCCTTTAAGTGGGTTCCTTGAATCCTTCAAGGGTTCTGTAAGGGTCCTATGGGAGATCAGGGTTTAGGTTGGAATTTTAGGTTGCTGGGTCTTTCGTGCTTGGGTTTCAAGCTTCGTTAGCCCGGACATTGTAGTTGAAGCCTATGCTTACATCCTAAATCCCCAAACTGGTGTCGTCTTTCCCGTCCGGCTTGTTTGAGCGCTTCCAAGGATCCGAATGGGTGGTTGTCATACATTAGCGTCCGCTTTGGGTCCTTATTATAATACGGCACCTAATATTTAGTACCCAAGAAGGGGCCATAATGTTGACAACTAGCCAAATGTGTCCAAGCGCAATCAGGAAAGCCGGAGCCCCACCCCCAATCGCAAAGAAGATGTCGAATCGAAGTCACAAAGCATAATAAAGCATAACAGGGTTTAGGGTTTAGGGTTTAGGGAACCCTAAACCCTAAACCCTGAACCCTAAACCAACACACTTAAAAAAAACACAGCCAAACCCGGTTTGGGGCTTGGGCTTCTAAGGCTTCAGTTTAGGGTTAAGGGTTCCCCAGAGAGCCCAATACCCCTTAATTAAGGAATATAGCTTGAACAATAATATGAAGCCCTATATAATTTGAGACATGTTCCTTAATTAAGGGGTATTGGGCTCTCTGGGTTCAGGGGTTCTCCCCAGCAACCTTTGCCTGGAATGCGGAACCCCCAGACCGTACCATAAACCCCTAAATCCCTAAAGCCCTAAGCCCCTGAAGTCCTAGACCCTCTACCCTTAAACCCGAAAGCCCAAAACCCCTGCAGCCCTAAACCGTACACATTTGAGGTCGGCTTGAGGGGAAGATTTGGTGCCTAGGGTTGGTGATATAACTCCTGCATGACCCTAAGGACCCTAAACCATGGGAGTTATGGTATATTCCTTATTTTGGGTAATGCAGGATTTATATCATCAACCGTAGGAGCCATAATATTTGTGGCTTGTCACGACAGCTGCAGCGGCTGGGAAGGGGGCTTCACAAGCCTAAAGCCCTAAACCCGAAAGTCCCTAAAGTACAGGCCGTAGTACAAAAAAATCGAGACCCTAAACCGTAAACCCCAAAATCCTCAAACACCCTAAACCCTAAGACCCTCAAACCAAGGCCAAAGTACTTGCGAGGACCTCCCAAGCAGCTGGAGCGCTTCGTTGATGTCGCCGAGCAGTGCTCGCGCCTGCGGCAGCCAAGTGGGCAGACGGTCAAAACTAACTAGGATGCCCAGCAAAACTATTGCCCTCCCGAAACTGTAGGCTGCCAGCATTAAGAGTAGAGTTATGTGGGGTTCCCCCCCCCCCCAAATGACCGTGACTTTGACAGTTGCGCAAGTGGGTAGACCGCTGGTTTAGGGTTCGGGTTTAGGGTTTAGGGTTTAGGGCTTTAGGGTTTTAAGGCTTTCGGGCTTTAGGGGTTTAGGGTTTAGGGTTTAGGGTTCCTGCTTCAGGGGTCAGATTTCAGGGGTTTGGGGTTCAGGGTTTAGGCCTTCGGATTTAGGGTTCAAGGTTCTGGGCTTTGGGGGTTAGAGTCCCACCGGTGTTCCTTTTTAAAGGGTTCCTTAAGGGGCTCCTTTTAAAGGGATCTATAGGGTTTAGGGTTTAGGGGTTTTGGGGTTTATTTCATAATGTTAACCACCATCGTCGTCATGATCATCATCATCGAAACCGGCCCCGTATCCATGCACAATCCGAGGGAAGCTAGAAAGTGCTCGCCCTATGAGCCAACAGAACCACCCCTTTGTTACAGAGACACCCCATATAGAGGATCTTACAACGAAGTCTTTATGACACCGTGTGTAAAACGATGTACAACGAAGCCATATGTACGCCAAGATTGTCATGCCAACCAGCTCCAAAACCCAACAGCCCCGGTAACTGGGAGCACTCCAGTTCCAGCCACAGGTGCTGCTGCCCTGCGGCCGATAGCTGATCCCGTGACACCAGCAACTTGTCATGTTGAACATGACCCTCATCCGTTAAATCATTGCAGTTGTATGGTGTATGCCCGCGCATCATCAAGCCTCACCTTCCGACGCGCCCAACTCTCCAGCTCTGAACTTCAGCCTCAAGCCCAAGACCACCCAAGAAACCAATAAGCTAGAGCATACACGCGCAAACTTAAACCTGATGCCTGCAATCTCAACGTTCATACCCCTGGAACTGGTGTGTTCTGTAGATCTTCGTCACAGCAGAAGCCTCGGGTCTTGATTAAGCCTGCACTGAGCACTTGGCATTCGGGGTTTAGCGGTCCAGGGTTTAGGGTTGTGTGAGAGGGATTCGGGTTTGGAGTTTTAGGGTTTGGCATTCTAAGAGGGCGTCGGGTCTGGAATTTCAGGGTTTGGCGTTCTTAGATGGTTGAGGGTTTGTCGATCTAGACTCTGACCTGCAATACTGTTTATTGCATGTCCGGTATTATTGTAAAAGCACAACCCGAAACATTTAGTACGTTCGAGGATCCAGACATGTCCTATTAAAGGAAAACTCCCCAGTCTCTCCTTCTCAAGTCGCCAACCGATATGCATGTGACATTAACCTTGCAAACAACCCTAGAACCCCCCCACCAAAAGTTGCACCGAGATGATTCTGAACGGCCATGCCAAAAGCCTGGTCTTGCTTTCTTAGAGGCCCAGGGGACTTCGTAGGTAGGATAATATGTAGTTTGATAAGTACCCTAAGTGGGGTTACCCCTATTGTAACCTTACTTATAGCCGACGTACTAAGTCCCCTGGGCCTCCAAGTAACACCAATATCCATCTTTCATAGAACCCGTATAGATCCCCTGGTCAATCCCGTATAAGGAACCCTTTTAAGGAACCTTACTACTTACCAAGTCCCGTGGGCCGCCAATGTCCATTACAGGCTTTTAAGGTCAGGTGGGGCTCTTGTCGTGGTGCCTATCCGTGGTTTGGGGCTTTAAGGTTTTGGGGCTTTAGGGTGTTGGGGGCTTTAGCATTTAGGGTAAGATTTAGGGGCTTTAGGGTTTAGGGGCTTTGGGGTTAGGGGCTTTAGGGTTTTGGGCTTCAGGTTTAGGAGGCTTATGGTTTTGGGGCTTGAGGGTTTTTTTGGGTTTAAGAGTTCGGGGTTATTTAGGGGTTCAAGGGTTTAGGGCTTTAGGGTTGAAACAGGCTGGCTTAAACTTCGAGCCCGAACCTCTGGCTGTCTCACATTGTCATCACAGAGGTCTCGACGATGAGCTTGACGAGTGGCACCATGTCTGCACGAACCCTAAACCTGTCATGATGACAGAGCCCTTAAACCACCTGCATTTGGCTGGTTATTAAATTGGGGTCCCTTTTGACGTCCCCAAAAGAGCCCGGTACCCAGGAACCCTAAACCCCTAAACCCCTAAACCCTAAACCGCTCACCTGAAAGCGAGCCCTAAATCTGAGGAGGCGTCGGGGCGCCTTTTCACACCCCCTGGCTTGTGCGTGATTTCGTTTTCATGCCTGGGATTGAATAGTTTGAACCCCAGAGCCTTAAAGCCCCTGTACCCTAAGCCCTACTCCCTGTATTCACCTCAAACTCTATAAAGCATGTCAATGTGTTTCTGGTTGAATTTGTTGCTATGTTTGGTAGTGAGCCAGGTCTGGTAAAGTTCATTCTGCGACATCTTGCCTTTACGCTTCTCTTGCGGCCGTGTAATACCAACCCCAAGCTTTCAATTGTTCAAAGTTGGAGTTCAGAACTTCATGGGATCAGCGTACGGGATTGGCTTCGGGAGTGTTGCATGTAGCTGTGTTTCTTTGTCGGTTGCATTCCATAAATGCATTCAGCCCCGGCCAGAGTCTGCGACTAGAGCTTCTTGTCCTAGACCTCAGCTGCACTACTTTTCGTGGGCAGCCTTTTCAACCCGCCGAGCTCAGGGCTCAATTCGGATTCCCCGTGGCCGTTTGGGCTGGTACTTTTAAGCGCTTCAGGGTCTCCATTCTCATACTCCTGAGCCTCGAAAACTGCAAACCCTACTCACTTCAACATTGCATAAGTCCACCCTAAACCTTGAATCCTAAACTTCAATCCTAAACCCTATAAAGCTTAAAGCCTAAATCCGAAAACTCCCCTAAGCCTGTGGATGGCTTACTGTAGGGCTTCCTTGAGCTTCGGGACCAGGGCTTGGGCCGTTCTCTGCAGGTTTTGAGAGCTCCTGTGGCTTCGAATGGGTGGTCAATGAAGAAGAGGAGTTTCAGGAGAGAAGGGGGTTTGGGAATACTTAGCATTTGGGGATTAGGGCCGGGTGTGGTGATCATTGAAGAAGCTTCTCTCCTCAAACTCCTCTTAGGAGGAGTTTCAGGAGAGAAAGGGTGTTTTGGGGTGTTTAGGTTAGAAGCTGCCCCCACCCTGTAATAGTGACTGTAAGGATTATATTAGGGCCCTATTCTATTCCATATATTTTACCACCATTACAGGGTGGGGGCAGCTTCTCATGTTTAGGGTTTCAGGAGGCTTTGGGGTTTAAGGGGGTTTTGGGGCGTTTGGGGTTGAAGGAGGCTTTAGCGTGCGGTGGCCAATGAAGAAGAGGAGTTTCAGGAGAGAAGGGGTTTTGGGGGTATTAGGGTAGGGTCTGGGGTACCTAGGGACTGAGGAGTTTCAGGAGAGAAGGGGTGTTTAGGGCTTTAGGGTTTAAGGAGTTTGGGGAGAGTAGCGGGTTTGGAGGTGTTTAGGGTTTAGGGCTCAGGGAGGAGTTTGAGGAGAGGAGGGTTATGGGTTGTTTAGGGTTTGGGGTATTTCGGATTTAAGGAAGAGGCGGAGCTGGAGGAGAGTAGGGTATTTAGGGTTTGAGAGTCTAAGGAGGCTTGAGGGTCTTCAGCGGAACTGCAGACCAACCCCCTGAAGTTCTAAAGCCCACAACCAAAGCTCGAAGTCGTCTACTGGAAGCCCTGATCCCGAAGTTCAATGCGATAAGCATGATTCCGACCTCTACAGTGTAACTCAAGCCCCGCCGAGAAGCACAGAGAATGAGGTTTTGTACATAGTGGGCGTAGGCTCGGATCTAGTGGGGAGTTTCTGAGAATAGGGGACCCTGATAAAGCATCCTAAATAGTAGGATCCTTATTATAAGGACCCAAAGTAAGGTGCCCCATTTTCGGAAACTCCCATGTGGCTGTCCTCGCAAACGTTAGTTTTCCAGGAGAAATCGGCCCAGTCGCCAGTCGCCAAGCCAGATTCGGTGCCTTCGGCAGGGAGATGACCTACTGTTGATGGACAAAATCCTGCATGACCCTAAGGACCCTAAACTATGGGAACTATGGTATATTCCTTATAATAATGGGTAATGCAGGATTTTGTCCATCAGCCGTAGTAGTAGGGTAGGTAACCTTTTACCTTTTTGGGTAGTATAGTCCCTATATACCCAAAAACATTAACCTTTAGTTCCCCATGATACCCGACAAGTAGGATCAGGTCTTAGGATTTAGGGTTCAGGACTTTAGAAGGGCTGTAAGGTTAAGTTTAGGTAGGGTTGAGAGAAGCAGTCATTGCATCATGCTTCAGGTTCTAGGGACTCTTCTAGGGCGTTCGCGCCCGAAGACCGCCCTGTGTCAAGCCTTCGGTTTACGTTCAGCTGGAGGGCAAATGAGCAGAGTGAAATTCCCCAGAGAGGCTGGGATGGCTCCTCGTCGACAGGCAACATGTACTCACAACCCACTGTGTAGTCATGAGGGTGGCTGTCAAAATTATTGTCCCTTTTTGGGTACCCTAGATATTATGTGCCGTATTATAATCAGGATCTAAAAAGGGACCCTGATATTGACAACCACCCATGAGAACTGCAGCAATAGCTACAGCGATTTTTAAGAGTCCTGGTTTTTACCAGTGATAACGGCAAAGTTCACATGGGTATTTCCGAGAACTAGGGTTCCCCTATTTTGGGGTCCATTACATAGGACGGGAGGAAAGGCCAAGGTTATAAGCCTTGCAGGTTTGTGCATTTGGGGTTTGCAAGGTTCCGGTTTAGGGTTTCGGGTTAAGGGTCCACTGTGTGGTCCAGGGGGTAAGCAGCGTAGCCAGGGTTCGGGTGTAAGGATTTGAAGTTGTACAATTGTACCCCATTCCTCCATTCCCTACTAACCAAAGGTAAGAAACCCGAAGCCCGAAAACGCAAGCTCTTTCAGCGACCCAAAAACAAAGCCCTGAAGCCCACAAGCGAAAGCCCCAAACCCTAATCTTGCCGCACTAAACCCTAAATCCTAAACCCTTAGAGACGGAACGTTGCCGCTACAACATCTATAAAAACAACAAGAACAGTACCAATACTATTAACACTAACAACAATAACAATTACATTAACCATACCAACACCCTTAATTTAGGTTAACCAGCGCATGTTGGCAGCAATAACAAGACAAAAGAAGCCGTGCATCGCCGTGTCAAGGATTCGAAGCCTCGACGGCAGCGGTCCGGAGGTGCCTTCTTCTATTTGAGATTACTATTCCTATTGTAGTTATGGTTTGTCTATGTCATTGCTTTCCGTCCTTCTCAGTGTTATGACTACTGTAGCTATCACTGCCGTGGGTTACTATGCACGGCACCGCTCTCGTTATTGCTACTGCTCTTGGTCCCATTATTGTTGTGCCCTTAGTGTTATCAGCGGAAGTAGCTTTAGCATTAGCATTGGTATTAGTATCCGTATTAGTCTTAAATTTCTATTGATATTGGAATGAGTGTTAGTACTACGGTTGAGTTTTCTTTGGTTCTCGCTGTTGTCATTCTTGGTGTTATTCTGTCATGTATTTCTTGTTTTCAGCCGCCGTCTTGTTATTCTCACTCTTATTCCTGTGGTTTTAGATTTGTATTGTCACTGGTGTTGTTATCATTATTGCGAAAGTATCGGTATTTGTGTATGATTGTTTTCCTATCCCCACCGTCATTGTCCATCATGTCTATCGGTAACGGCTGGTACTGCTTATTAATTGGTACATACTTTTGGCATCATTGCGAGTGTTGATATTGTGAGTAGTGCCACAATTGGCATTGGTATGGTTGTTTTTGTTGTTGTTGTTGGTGGTGGTGTTGTTGTTGTTGTTGCTGCTACTGCTGCTGCTGGTGTTGTTGTTGTTGTTGTTGTTGTTGTTGTTGTTGTTGTTGTTGTTGTTGTTGTTGTTGTTGTTGTTGTTGTTGTTGTTGTTGTTGTTGTTGTGATTGTGGTTGTTGTTGTTGTTGCTGTGGTTGTTTGGGCTGTGGTTGCTTTGTTTGTTGTGGTTGTGCCTGTCGTTGTGCCTGTGGTTGTGGCTGTGCTTGTGGTTGCAGTTGTGGTTGCAGTTGTGCTTGTCGTTGTGGTGTTTGTGGTTGTTGCATGTTGTTGTGGTTGTTGTTGCGGTTGCAGTTGCCGTTGTGGTTGTGGTTGTTGTTGTTCGTAGTGGCTGTGGTGATGCTGGTTGGTTGTTGTTGTTGTTGTTGCTGCAGCTGTTGTGACAGTCACTGTCATGATTAGTTGACTTTTCAGTGTTTTACTTCGCTTCTTGTGCACGCCGATGACGGTGGTTGTAACGACCTTAGTGACTCAATGGCTATTCCAGTCTTTCGGCCCCTATAGAAAGTGTTACCAAATGTATGGATGCCGCTGTCAACTGTCAAGTGCATCTCCTGGCGAACTAAACCCTAAACCCTAAACCCTAAACCGGAGTTGCATGTCAAGGGGGCTTTGCTGGCCCTACGACGAAGGGTCTAAAGATGCCTTTTTTGGGGTTTCAGTGCCCGACGTGTGTTCTGTCCCGCAGGCTCCGAGAAGCACTACGACGTGGTTCTTATCATACAGATGGAATATTGTGGCTTGGATTGTCAATATAGGGGCCTTAATAATTCGAATAGGGCTTCGGGGCCCAATATACTATAACTATAATAAGGAACCACCAAAATAGTATTGGTAGTTATTAGGGCCCCTAAGCTACCGAAACGGAAGTGTTAGGCCCTCCGCTCTCCAGGCCTGGGAGTGCTTCAAGAGCACTATCACCTTAGGGTCAGGTGCCCAGAGCCTTGAATACTAAACTAAACCCTGGACCCCAGAAATTTTGTTGAGTGTTGGCGGAAGGAGTCAGAACTTAAGGCACGAAGCCACACTTAGTGTCTATCTAGGGCCTAGGGGCCTATGGTTTAGGCCTGAGCGGTTCAGGGCTTCCGGTTTACGGCTTACCGTAACCGCCAAGAACCTGCTTTTCTAAGGACCTAAGTATAAAGAAATCATACTAAGGAACCCTGAAAATGTAGGCTTCTTCGGATCCAAGTAGAGTGTAGGGTTTGAGGTGCAATGCAGTTTTTCTATGTTCAGCATCCTTTTCACGCGCGTGCCCCCGACAGCATCAGTGACCTTAACGCAAGGCAATTGAAACTAAGGCCATAGACCCTTCGGACACAAAGGCTCCAAGTACCTAGTCACTCAGTTAGTCACCTAGTCAGATACTTTCCCAAATGCTGACCTGCAGCTACTTCCATCTTAAGCCTAGCTGCCTAGATACTCGCACCTTTGGACCCTTAGGACTGCCTTTCTGATCGTTCAGCTCCTGAAAGCCTAGGCGATGGCATCACACTTGCTGATTGGTTGGCCTATCCGATGCTGGGCAAAGATGATGGGCCGGGGTTTGGGGATTGTTCCTAACTGAAAACATTCCTCTAAGAGCCGAAAGACCCAATGCTGCATTTTAGTACGCCGCAAAGACCCAACTTTTTTGGGGGTTCCTTGGTATAGGTTCGAGATATAACTCCGTAAAACTGCAGGTTCTGGGGCCCCAGTGGTAATGCAAGCCCCTGATTACTAAACCCCTTCCCTTTACCGACGTTAAACTGGAGGTCTGAGGTTGGGTTTCGGTTTAGGATGTGTAAGTTTTGCCTACTATAAAGCAGTGCTAAGCACTTGACGGGGAGTTCTCTCCTGAATTCTGGCTACGCCCCAAACCCGACACTCTGCAGCCCACCCCAAACTCTGCAGGAAAGCTAAATGCGAAACCCCAGGAAGTTGCGGCCGAAACTGCTGAAGGGAGGCACAGGATTTAGGGCTTCAGGGTCTTACAGTTCCTCTAACGGCTCCCCTCAGGGTTCCTTAGCCTTCGTTGATGTTCGTTGTGCAGGGCTCTGTCGGGTGATTTGACGAGCGCTGTCAGACACAATACGCCTTTAAACAATCCCAAACCCCTCGCCGTAAACCCCGAGCGGCTCCCTAAACCCGAAGCCAAAACCCTAAACCCTAAACCCTACATGAACTCCCTACGTTCAGCGGCGATCTACTGAGGTCCGAGGTGTTGGATTTAGGGTTTACCCATAGGCTCCAGAGTAGCTCTTTTTGGGGGCTTATGTTTTTAATTTAGGATCCTGTAAGGTCGTCCCAAAGAGGAGCTATTTTGGAGCCTATGGGCAGAGTGGTGCGAGGATTCGACTGAAATTCTGTGAAACCCAGACGTCGCAAGGATCGGGGGCGGATTTCGGTAGTTTGAGCTGAGGGTTGGAAGGTTTCGGCTGTAGGGTGAAGGGCTTTCTGGACCTCAGGATTTATTTACTGGCTTTCAGGGTAGAACTCGGATAGTTTTCGGGATTGAGATGTTTGGGGGTGTCTCGGATCAGTTGCAGAGGGGCGGAAGGGGTTGTAATCGAAGCTGCGCCGGACGTTTTACGCTCTTCTTCCCGACCCCACGAAAGTCATAACACTTGCCCGTCCATGGGATGCCTAAACCCTAAGCCCTAAACCCTAAATCCTAAACCCTAAACCCCGAAGCGCAAATCCTAAGCCCTAAACCCTTGACCCTAAACCCAGCCCGCTGACTCTCCTAGAGCCCATGAAGCTGCTCTTGCTGCAGGAGCCCAACAACGAGCCCTACACCATAAATTGATCTTGATTATACGATCAGTAGTAATAGTAATATTGGTATTAATACTTAAAATAATGTGAAAAACTAAAACAAGTTAAAGGATCTTTAGTTATCTGATAAGTCTGCTAGACAAAGTACCATGGAATGGGAATGGCATACCCGTTGGGCATGGCCCGGACCAGAGTTGAGTTGGGTGACACCGTTTACCGGATTGTCACGTTTTGTCGCCCGCGCCGTATGAACCAACCCTGGCTACCTCGCGGGTTTATGAAACTGTCGCCCGGTCGGTCAACTCGCCAACTCTTGGTATCTCATCTCATTTGAGGAGGACGTTCCACTGAGCACACTTTATGCTGGGGCGAGTCTGCGCACAAGGTTAAACCGTAGACCTCGGTGGGACTGAGCTTGGCTGCAAAGCTCTATAATTAACAGCTAGCCTGAGTCCTAAAAAATTGAATCGCCTCAACCTAAACGTCACCAACCCTGAACCCTAACTCCTAGACCTCGCTGCCCGGTATGGCTGCCTTCAATTCCGACACAGCCTAAACTCTACCGCGAATATGGAAGACTGACTACTTGCCAATACGGTTCTATAGGTGTCCTTATGATGATTGTAGTAGTATTGTAACAAAAGAAACCCCAACACCAGCACCCTAGGCTACCCGTTATCACGTTTGCAAGCTTTTGTGTCCAAAGACCATGCTTGTAGCATGCAGGTCTTCTGGACTTTCTTGAGCCTAACCGAAACCTTGCGTCCACAATCCTTCTCCGGGAGGGCCCATTTAAGCTACATAGTGAACCGTCTCAACAGTCAGTCCGTATTATGGTTTTGGGGACCAGGCCACTTAGTAAGTAGGTTATAAGTAAGGTTATAAGTACCCTAAATGGAGTTACCCCAATTATAACCCTGCTTATAACCTACTTACTAAGTCCCCTGGGCCTCTGAGTATAGTTTTGGGGACCCAACTCCTCACTCTTGTGGACCTTCTGGGCTCTTCACCGGAGAGGCATGGGGGCTGCTGCGCAGCTCTTCCGCCAGCTGATGCAAGGTGACACGGTTCAGGGTTCCTCTGCACCCTGTACCTCATGAGAGGAGGGTTCTTGGGATTTCTTGAAGAGTTCTGTAGGGGTTTAGCATATATCACCCTGCCTGAAGACTCAAAAAGACATATTGACCAGGTTGAAACCAAGGCTCTAATCACGATAACCCTCACTACGCGCCCTGGGTCCAAAATCCATGGGTCAGGGCTTCAGGGCACATTTCAGTTATTGATCTTTGGTGATCCTAGGTGTCACCAAGCTTGGATACTACCTTTTGTCTCCATTGTAGTTCCTTGTTTTGGTTAACCAGCTTTATGGTTAGGATCCTATAATATAGATCGATTTTGGTTGACCAGAAAAAGGAACCACAATGGAGACTCTAGGTAGTTTCCGAGAGAATCAGGGCAATTACCCAGCACCTGAGGGAAATACTCTGCATCTCACAATCCGCATTATAACGACCACTTGGAAGATACCGATGTTTCGGAATCCCCATGGCTCCTTGCAGAGCCACGGCAGGCATTTTTGTTTTCACCTAGACCTAGACCCTCAAACGTAGGTAAAATACTGGCCCAAAGCCTACAAAAGGCTATTGTTCTGCCTAGGATGCCCAGTAGTACCCTTATTCCTTTTTTGTAGTCCTAGGTTCCTTATAAAGTTACCCAATACCAAAAAGAGAGGCCTTTTTGTTCTTAGGTTACTGGGTATCCCAGCTGCATACTTTTGGGGGTCGAGGCAAGGTCAGTTATCCACGAAGGCTTGGAGCATGAGGATGACCCGAGAGGAGACGAGAGTGAATCCTGCCCAGAAGATCCCTGCGTGTCTAAAGGGAACTCCAGAAAGTTGGAATATGGATTAATGGTAGGGATCCCCTATAATTTAGCTTAAAAGGGTTACGATAATGATATTCCAACTTTCTGGCTTCTACTGTAGCTGCTTCTTAGATCTGGGCTTTTTTAGGACAGGGTCTCCCCAAACCCAAGAGTTGAACAGCAGGGTTTAGGGTTTAGGGGCATCTTGATAGAAGTTTCCGTAAGTCAACACGGTTCTCGCTGGAATTGATAAGCACCTCACCTATCTTGCCTTTGTTTTGCGACATGGCGGGGGGAGCTGGGAACGCCAGAACACTAGAAACCTGCTGTTCTCGAAAGGCTTGGCAGATCTTCATGAAGCACCTTGTCTGCAAATTTGGTAAGGGGGTCGGAATGATTACTATTACCCCCTCGCACATTTGCGCCCGCAAAGTGTGTTTTTAAACTGCGCGCCAGTTGATGAGCCGATCAGCCGTGCTGCGCCGATCAGCCGATCAGCCCAGGCACCCACCTGGATTGTCAGAGGGTATACAGTAGAAGCCAGAAAGTTGGAATATCATTATCGTAACCCCTTTAAGGTATGGGGATCCTACCATTAATCCATATTCCAACTTTCTGGAGTTCCCTTTAAGGAGGCCGGGGGTTGCCGGTGAGCCGATCAGCCGCCCCCCCCAATCGGCTCACCGGCAACCCCCGGCCTCCTTACCCTCTGACAATCCAGGTCAGCAGTGGGTGCCTGGGGTGATCGGCTGATCGGCGAAGCAGGGTTTGGGGCCCAAAAGCCACGCACGCTGCCCTTGTAGACCTTATTGGAACTAGCCAAGACCCCTTCGTAATTACTTCAGCCCCTATATTATTTCGGCTAGCTGGCTTTGCAATGAGGAGTTCGGAGTGTTGTTCTGGGTTTTGGGGGCAATCGGTAATGCTGCCCCTTCATCGTCGCTATATGTAACCCTGTGCAATGGTATATCAACATATACCACGTTTGCATACGATGCTTATGATGCCACTATGCCAAAATATACCCAAGATCCTGGTCGAACTATCAAGGCCCCTACATTCAACGATAGCATCCCAGGCCGGCATCGTCCATTGGGATGTGAAGCCGGCGAACATCTTGATCTCCAAGGAACCATAGGGTGATGATATAAATCCTGCATTACACATAATAAGGAATAGACCGTAGCTCCCATAGTCTAGGCAGTGCAGGAAGTATATCATCAACCGTGGCTTTTGCGATTCGCGGTTCAGTTTTCAGGTTTTGGGCACAGGATCCCCAAAGAACCCCATAGGGTTTAGCGCGTGCAGTGTTTAGGAAATATGGCCTTATTTAATGTGGCTTCGATCTGGCCTTAGACCTCCTATGTCTCCACGGATGGGGCTTGGGCTTCGAGGTTTGGCGGGTTGAAGTGGCAGTCACAAGCGTTTGTCGGAGAAGGAGCCGGGGTCTCGAGGCTTTAGGGTTGCCTGCTTTTGCGACAGCCTTCTAGGATCTCAGAGGGCTGACAAACTCAGAAGCCTAATTCGGGTTTAGGGTTCAGGATTTAGGGTTTAGGGTTTAGGGTTCAGGATTTAGGGTTTAGGGTTTAGGATTTAGGGTTTAGGGTTTCGGGTTTAGGGTGAAATCAATAGTACCGTACCCCTAAAGTACCCTGAACCGAGACCAACCCTTGACCCCAAAGGCCTCAAGACCCGAAACCCTCAAACAAGCAAATAAAGAAACAGACAAACAAAGCAACCTATCGTGCACGGATAGAAACCGCGTAGATACCTCTATCGCACCCTTAAAGAACCCTTAGTTCCCTTAAAGAACCCCAGAAAAGCATCCGGAGGAGATCCAAGATCCCCGAAAATAAGCCAAGACGGCGACCCTTATAGCACCCCTTACAGAAATCCTTGCAGTACCTTGTAGTACCCTTGAAGAACTGCCCAAAATACAGCCGTAGGAAACCATAGTAACCCGTAGTGGCCTTGTCGGAACCGTTAGAAATCCCAGAGCACCCTTATACTACCTCTAAAGAACCCCACTGTAATAGCCTTATAGCAGCCTTGCGAAAAGCCTCGCACTACTCTTATAGTAGCCTTAAAGAACCGCATCACAGTACCTCTTGCAGAAACCCAGTACCCTTATAGCAGCCTTGTTAGAAACCCACCGAAAAGCACCAACAGCACATCAGTGTTTGTGTTTTCTTTTTGTTAGTGTTATTCATTGCGAATACTATTGTTATTATTTTTCTATTAATGTAGGAAACCCTGGCCCCTTAACCACAATGTGCTAGGATCCATCGAATAAAGGCCCAAGGTGTCTTAATCAGGTTCCTCCATTTTTGACTATTATTGTGGCGATTACTATGATTGTAATTATTGCTGTTATATTGACTATTACTTGGAAGGCCCCCCCCCACCCTGTAATAGTGACTATAAGGGTTATACTAGGGTCCTATTATATTCCTATTGCACCACTATTACAGGGTGGGGGGGCCGTCTAAACCATTATCGTTTAGGTACTGCCCCCATACAGTAAGAGTCTATAATACCGGTACTATTAAGGTCCTAATATATCTGTATTATGACTACTATTCAACTATTGCTGAGTGGGGGCCTTCTAAGCCCTAAACCCTAAACCCTAAACAATTATCGTTGCCATGTCGGAGGAGACTGGTACGCTGAAGATTTTCGACTTCGGCCTCGCGAAGCTGCGCTCAGATGGCCTTTGCCAGATCCTGGGGCGGCCATGGGGGTTTAGGGTTTTAGGGTTTAGGGTTTTAGGGTTTAGGGTTTTAGGGTTTAGGGTTTTAGGGTTTAGGGTTTTAGGGTTTAGGGGTTTAGGGTTTAGGGGTTTAGGGAGGTTTGGGGGACCCGGATTCCTGGTGTCAGTGCTTTCAAGTTATCCAGTCAGGAGCCGCCGTGGGTGGCCAAGAAAGTTTCTTCTGATCTGCAAAGGCATAGCTTCACGGGGCTCGGCTTCTTGATACCCGCTGTGCGGCAGCGTGTCCAGCAAGGCGATTGCTCTCGTCACCGCGGCCAGCTTCTACCGGGACCAGCCTACAGCAAAAATCCGCGTCCGATTCGGAATCTACTGGCGGCGTGCTCTGTGTACCGCAGTCTCCACCCGTGCTGGTCCAAGCACCATGAGATCGTCTTCGGTAGGTCGTGCATGGCGTCCAGCATCGTCTCGGAGTCGTCGCTTGCAACATCCTCAAGCTCGCTGCCAGTGCTGACAAATTGAGTTGAGCCACCACCGGAGCTCCCGGCTCGCTTGCACAGCATGGAGCTTATTATTATTCGGGTGTACCCAGAGACTCCAAAACCCCTTAATTATGGAATATACCTTAAATCATGTAAGGGATCCTACTATAATTGAAGGTATATTCCTTAATTCTAATGCTACGCAGCCCGCCTCGGCCGCCGGCTGCAGTAGGGCCAGCAGGGGCGCAGAACAGGGGCCAAACTGCGAAGGGCCTCTTAAAGCAGGTGTAATTTAGTTGCAGGGTCAGGGCTACTTGGAGAAGTGTGGCAAGTGTAGAGCAAACACATGCAGCAAAACCCACAGTGGAGCCGGGGGCAGGCCGAAAGAGAAGAAAAGGTGAAAGAAAACGAGCAGGCAGAAGACAAAAAACAAGGGGAAGCCGGAGGAGGAAGGGGGGGCCGGAGGAGGAAGGGTGGGGGGGAGGGGGGGGGAAGAAAACAAGCCAAAAAGAAGTGCACGAAAAAGTCGCAATGGAAAAAAACACGCGAGGGCAGGACAAGACGGAAGGGTGGGAAAAGGGGCCGGGGGAAGGCCCGGGGGGAGGGGGGCCGGGGGGTCGGGGGGGGGGAAGCTTCAACGAGGAAGCAGGAGAGCCAAAGCACACGAACGAAACATAAGAAGAAAAAGCAGTGGAGCCGGCCCGGCGGGGGGCAGGCCGAAAAAGCCAAAGCACGCGAACGAAACATAAGAAGAAAAGGCAGTGGAGCCGGCTCGGTGGGGGGCAGGCCGAAAGAGGAGAAAAGGTCGAAAAAACACGCGAGGGCAGGACAACACGGAAGGGTGGACTGGCCGGCCGGAGGAGGAAGGGGGGGCCAGCAAGAGGGGGAGGGGGGAAGGAAGGAAAACAAGCCAAAAGAAGTGCAGAAGGGTGGGAAAAGGGGCCGGAACAAAACAGCAAAACGAGAGCTTCAACGAGGAAGCAGGAAAGAAGCACGCAAACGAAACATAAGAAGAAAAGACAGTGGTGCCGGGGGCAGGCCGAAAGAGAAGAAAAGGTGAAAGAAAACGAGCAGGCAATCGAAAAAACACGCGAGGGCAGGACAAGACGGAAGGGTGGGGAACCAAAAAAGGAAAACGAGCGAGGAGGGCAGAGGGGAGGACGGGCCGGAGGGGGAGAAGAGAGAGGGAGGGGGGAGGGGGGGGGGCAGCGGAGCGGGGGGGCAGGGGAGGGAGGGGGAGGGCGGGAGGGGGGTGGAGGGGAGGGGGGGGCGTAGGGAGGGGCCCGGGAGGGGGGATCAGGAGGAGGGGAGGCAAATTCGGCAGCAAAAAAGGACGGAAGCCGGGCAAGGGGGTCGAAAACAGTCGCTAAAAACGGGTGGAAGTTTGAGTCTGGGGGTAGTACAGAGCCTTGGCCTGGGTGTTCAAAGCCCAGGGCGAACGAAGAGGACCTGCCTGTGCTGTCCTGGACATCGACAGCGCTACGGCTTGCGGCAGGAGTTTAGGACTTCACAGGCCTTACCCATAGGCCCCAAAGTAGTTCCTTATTGGGGGTTCTTATGTAGAATCCTAGAGGGTAATCCCAAAACGGAACCACTCTGGGGCCTATGGGTAGTGAAGCCACAACCAGCACGGCCAAAGATCCAAGCTGCGGCGGCAGGTTCTACGAACCCTTCACAGGAAGCCGTCGAACCCTAAAGCCGCGAAGCTCTAAAGATCCCTAAAGCCTTACGACCTTAAGACCCTAAGCCATGGAGGCCAGTACAAAGTTAAATTCTGATGCCCTAGTAGGGGCAAACACAAACTACCATTGAATTAATTAGGGCTCCTTAAGCGCAATATAACAGCCATGCCCCCAAATCCTGTTCCAGCTGTTGAACTATACCCGATACCCAAACCCGCGATGCACATTATCATTACTGATCCCTTCTCGGCCCCGTTTTCAGAAGCCCTTAAAGGAACCCGATTCTAATTAAGGAAGTCCCTATACTAAATTCTACAAAGCCATTTAACAGCGTGTAAACCGATATAAATTGTGGAAACCCTCAGCGGAACCCTCTCCTAGTACTGCAAAACCTTCACAAAATATGTAAATCCTCAACGGAACCCTTCTCTAAGATTGCAAAACCTTACAAAAAATTAGCCCTCAACACAACCCTCTACAAATACTGCAAACCCTTACGAAATATTTTAGCCCTCAATTGAACCCTCTTCAACTACTGCAAACCCTTACAAAATATATAAACCCTCAACGGAACCCTCTTCAAATACTGCAAACCCTTCCAAAATACATAAACCCTCAACGGAACCCTCTTCTAATACTGCAAAACCTTCACGACATGTGTACATCCTCAACAGAACCCTCTTCAAATATTGCGAAACCTTACAAAATATGCAAACCCTCAACGGAACCCTTTTCCAATACTGCAATACCTTACAAAATATGTAAGCCGTCAACCGAACCCTGTTCTAATATTGCAAGTCCGGCCAAGGAAGGGCATGTCCAACTCCAGCTTCAGCAACCAAGTTTCGCGTACAGCAATCGGCACGCCAGGATACTTGGCCGAGGGTGTTCGAGCTCGATTGGGTTTATGGTTTAGGGCTACGGGGGTTTGAGGTCGCAGGGTTTATAGGGTTTACAGTCGAGTTTTAGGGTTTAGACTTTCGGCTTCAGGATTTACGAGAAGCTACAACAAGCCTGAACTAAACAGCCAGCCTCGTCGGCCGTTTACTGCCACTGAGTTGGGGTTCATCGTGACCACAATCAGTTTCAGAAAATGACAGTCGTTCATATAGAACGTAAACAGCTGGATCCGTATGCAACAAGGTCCGAATCTTATCAAGAACTGCTTCAGAGCACCACGGGGAGCTGCCGAAACCCGATCAGGAATCCGAGTCTCAAGAGCCACCCTCTCAACCGATGACAAAGCCCTTTATTAAAGCTCTGCACAGTTCTTGTAAAGTCCTTGAAAACCATTAAAGAGGGTAATGCTTCAACCCGACGCTCCGGACGCTGAAGTATTTCTGAGTACTTCGTGAATGGCACCCAACCAGGACCTTGCCCTCCGGGTCCAGTCCAATAACTGGCTATTTGGATTCAGGGCTTGTTTCGGAGGCATTTGAGGGTTTTAGGGGTCCAAAGTACCTGATACTCCTACTGCTTAGCAGTTCAGTGTTCGGGTTTAAAGTTTAGGACATCGGTCACACCAGGTTGGTTTTCAGGAAAGTGCAGTATATGATTGTTTCTTAGTAGGCGCCTGAAATGGCAGAATTCACCCAAGAACATGAATGAGCACCTTAGTCTTGCAAGTATACTGTAAACCCTAAACCCCAAACTAGAAATTGGCCCTGCGACCAACCCCTAACCACTGACTCTCCCTCCCAGGACCCCGAAGATCCCCGATGCTTACCGATAGGCCCCATAGTAGTTCCTTTTTGGGATTACCTTATAGGTTCCTAGATATGAACCCCAAGAAGGAACTACTATGGGGCTTATGGGTGAGCTTCAACCCCCCAAATCCTAAGCATCTCAGGATATGCACCACCGGAGCACTGCATGCACGCAAGCCCCGACAAAAAGCCTCAGAGTCCATCCGGTTCGTTTGTGCTTCCCCCCGCACCGGAGCTGCACATCAGATGTTCAAGACGTTCACGGGGTGTTGGGCTTGCTGCCATTTCGGGTTTAAGTTCTGACAGACTTATGGTTTGGGTGCTTGCGGTTTAGTATATTGTGTGGTGCTGGGAGGAGCCCAAGCAAGTTTTAACCCTGACTGACTAAGGTCTAGGGTTTCGAGGGTTGAGGGGCTATCGGAAGGGATAGTCGTGGTTGACTAAGAAGAGATATCCATCAAAGAAGATTCCTCAGCAAGATGGCCTGGACGGATACCCTGAACCCTGGCCCTAAACCCTAAACCCTAAATCCTAAACCCTAAACCCTAAACCCTAAACCCTAAACCCTGAACCCTGGCCCTAAACCCGAGTCCTGAAAGAGGATCCTCAACCCATAAGGCCCAGCCTGAGCACACGGCGCAAGCTTACCGCAACCCTGCGGGGTACCTTTAAAGGGGTCCTTTTTGGGGGATTCCTTAAAGGGATCTATAAGGGTTCTATAAAGGGTTTAGGGTTTAGAGTTTCCGAAAATTGGGGGGGTACCGTATTTTGGGGCCCTTATAATAAGGATCCTACTATTTAGGGTACCATCTTGGGGTCCCCTAATTTTCGGAAACCCCCATATTAATGGTCTTCTGGGTTTTTTTCGGGGTCCTGTTAGGCTTCCGACAAGGGATCCTTGTGAAGCTCCTTTTTCGGGCTCCTAGAAGGCTTTGGTAAGAATGCCTGAGTATTTTGGCGAAGGTTTAGGGAAGCTCTATACAAGAGTTATGTTAAGGAATCGCACCATTAAAAGTTGTTCAGTCCTTGCTCCCTCTTTTTGCCCATAAATCAGTGACCTCTTTTCTACCCGAGTTTCAGAATATCTCCAGACCCTGAAACCCTAAATCCTGAAGCCTTTAAAGCCCTACATCCTACGCCCCAGACTCAGACACGAGACCACAAGCCATATAAACCCGCCCGCCCCAGGCCCACCCACAGTCGGATATTTTTTCGGCTGGTATCATTCTCGTGGAGCTGCTGATGGCCGGAGTTGCCGGCGAGGGGCCCTCATGGAGTCTTTCCGGAACTGAAGTAACTTAGGCATCCAGGAGCTCTGAATGGGGCGTAAGGCTGTGGTGTAGTGTTTTCGGTTTCGGTTTCAAACTCTAGGTAATGGGTATATTTTGCTAAAGCATATTGGCATGCACAGGGTTTAGAGGCATGTGTAAGAGATATAGCTCTAAGCCATAGGGCTTGCACGGGGTTTAGAGGCGCATGTGCACGAGTTTGGGAAGTACAGGTTGGAGCCGTCAAACTTGTGTCTTGCGTCGTCGGACTCGCTGTTTCGATTTTTAGGTTTGTGGATTCGGGTTGTGGAGAACATTCAACAACGTTCTGCTTGAGGGCGATGCTGATGTGCAGTTTCAAACAAGCAGCACTTTAGGACTTGCAACCGAAAGCCCGCACGCCGCTCAGCACCAACACTTCCTGATGCAACCTCGAAGACTTTCGAAAGCCCTTCTCTGAAGTTCAAAGTAGCCCCACAAAATCGTGTGAAGGAATTGTTGACCCTTTGAGGTCTCTGGGTACGAGTCCTCAAAAAGCCGCCATAAACGAACGAAGCTAAAGTATATGCAGGAGTATTATAGAGGTAGGAATGTTGACTGATGGTCTCCCCCGTATAATCCCTATAATATATTATACCTGGGTTTGGAGTACCATACTTGAATACGTTTTTGGGGTACCTGGTCCTTAACGGAACCATTATGACTATGATTCAAACGTCTATACTCTTTCTCCCTTAATTCAAAGTCCAGTATAACATACCCTAAGAATCAGGCTCTAATTATGAAGTCCCTTGTACCAGGCTTTGGGGTTTAGGGTTGAAGAACTGCAAACCCCAAGCCCCTAAAACCCCCAAAACCCCTGAACCCTAAACCCCTACACCTCAACAATCTAAGGACCACTGCCATGGAGCGCATCTCCATTCTTGGAGCCCTTCGTGACGGCCGCGAGTCCGCTTTGCCCGCCACGCTGCTTCGAGACCGAGGCTTCTTTAAAAGGGACTTCATCTGCGGCTGTTCTAGTTTATGGGGTTGGTTTTATGGTTTCGGGTTAGGTTGGTTCCAGCATTGTAGAGTTCAGGAGGTGTTCTCGAGTGGAATGTGTAACGGACAACAAAGGCGCGATGCTGTAGGGTTTTATTAGGCTTTGCAAAGCTTCACAGCTTGCATTGATTTGTTCTGGGGCTTTCTTGCGGTTGTCATAATCTGCAGGGGTTGCAGTCCCCGAGGCTACGTATACAAGCTTTAAAGCCCTTAACCCCCAAACCTCTGAACCCTAAACAATCCCCAAACACTAACATTAAACCCAAATCCCGGAAGCCCTCCGACCGAGGCCATATGTTTAAGGATCCTAAGAAACACCCTAAACCCTAAACCCTAACAGACCTTCATGTAGAGATCAGGAGGGGTTTTCGCAAGCTCGGATCGAAGGGCCTTTGGAGGTCTGCAGGGTGTGGGGGGTTCCTTTCGCAGAAACCGCCAGAACTTAAGGAGAGATTCTCTGAAAGGGTTTCGGTGGTTTAGGAATGCGTGTTTTGGAAAATTTGGGAGTTGAAGGTTTTTGGGGGTTTGTGGTTTACAGGTCTTTGTTTATGAAAGTCTTGCTCGGTCTCCATAAGAATTGGTTTTTGGCTGAGATTGTTGATCTGGGAGCCGATGCTGTTTGGGCTGTTGCTCTGGCATGACATGGTCGAGAAGGGCCCGTCAGGGTGATGCTGCAAGTTTCTGAATTCTGGGAACACTGTCGTACTCATAAGTCCGCACATTACCATTCCGACATGTCTTGGTCTGCATTGAGGTTCCTCGTTGAGGAGCCAATGCAGCAGTATGTAGCAATTAACCTGTTTGCTGAACAACCCTGTAGAGTTACACGGTCATCACCTAGGCCTCGATTGAACAAGCTCAGAGTTACCTTGATGGTGCGAGCAAAGAACAGACCCTATGGTCAAAACTTTTTTCCCCCTAAACCCTGGGCTTCTACTATAACCTATGAACCATAAGCCAGCCCTACTTCTGGCTTTCTTAAAAGGGCCCTTACTCAGAGGGTCACTTGAGAGGGTCTACATCCCCAAGGGTCGCCCTAATCCTGACACATGTAGTGGTTGGCGTCAACCCGAAACTACCAACTTGAGGCCCGACCTGAGGTCCAGCACCTGACATGTATAACCATATTAGGGGTTTAGGGCTGTAGGGCTGTTTAGGGTTTAGGGTTAATTAATAGCGTGTTTAAGTCTTCATGTGTAGGGTTTGAGGTGTTTACAGCTGAACCCTACAGTTAAGGTAAAAGCCAGAAAGTTGGAATATGATTATCCTAACCCTTCTATGGTAAATTATAGGGTATCCTACCTCTGAAACCATATTCCAACTTTCTGGAGTTTCCTATAGAAACGTACGCAGCCCGTTGAAGTCGCAAGCTCAGACCTCGACCCCCCAAGCCATGCAGACCTAAAGCCCAAAGCCAAACTCTTGAAAGCTTCTGCTTAGAGGTGCAGGGGACTTAGTAAGTAGGTTTTCAGTAGGGTTATGAGTACCCTAAATGGAGTTAACCCAATTATACCCCTACTTATAACCTACTTACTAAGCCCCCTGGGCCTCCAAGTACACAGGTGTTGGCGCATGGCTGCGCCAACTCGTCTTCCGCATGGCCATTTGGATCTCAGGAGAGGATGTTACAGGGGCTTGTTTCAGGATCCCTCCATGAAGCATGAGCTGGGGATTTGGGTTTTCTTCAGCGCGTCTCATGGTTTTCAGAGTTCTGGTTTTCGGGCTTGACGTGCATGCATGTACATAGGTGCATGCATGTATGTACGATCTATGTGTACATGCTTATACTTACATGCACAAACTGACAAACTTATACAGATGTCCGCGTGTGTGCCTGTAGGCCCGTATGTTTGTATGCCTGTAGGTATGTAGCCAGGTGGGGGGTCGGTCCGTCAGTGGGTAGGTATGCATGTTGGAGTTTCCGAAAACAGGAGAACCCTAATCTAGAACCCTACATCGTAGGATCCAGATAAGAAGGACCCCCAAAGCAAGGTACCCTTAGTTTTCGGAAACTCCCATGTAGGTGTATAGGTATGCGGCTATGCATGTATGGATAGATGGATGGCGGGACGGACGGATGGAAGGATGGATGTGGTTACGATGTATGCCGACGTGTAAGCAAAGGTCAAACAGGTGGCGGGGCATGTAACCTGCTACGACATACATGCAAGCAAATATACCGACAAATATATGGACACAGAGAGAGAGAGAGAGAGAGAGAGAGAGAGAGAGAGAGAGAGAGAGAGAGAGAGAGAGAGAGAGAGAGAGAGAGAGAGAGAGAGAGAGAGAGAGAGAGAGAGAGAGAGACGAGAGAGAGAGAGGAGAGAGAGGAGAGGAGGAGAGGGAGAGAGGAGAGAGAGGGAGGAGAGAGGAGAGAGAGAGAGAGAGAGAGAGAGAGAGAGGAGAGAGAGGGAGAGAGGGAGAGAGGGAGAGAGGGAGAGAGGGAGAGAGGGAGAGAGGGAGAGAGGGAGAGAGGGAGAGAGAGAGGGAGAGAGGGAGAGAGGGGGAGAGGGGGAGAAGCGAGAGCAGAAGGAGGGACTTATGGCCGCAAGTTTTGGAATCAAGAGCTCAGAGCAAGGACCCTGATCCCGCCATGAACTTATCCGCAGCTCCTTCCCCTGCACCCCCCCGGCCACTCTGCTCATGACTCAGGTAAACTGGAGTGTTGATGGGCGTCCGACCGCCCAAGAGGTACTGGACGAGCATCGCGGGCTAGCAAGCTTCAGCCAGCATGGGGGTTTCCACTCTGGGCTCCCATGGGCTTGTGGTTTGAATCCTGCTTCGGGGGTCGGGGTCGGACTTTATGGCTCTGGTTCGCTGTGTTGTGAGCAGGTTGAATCATGCCTTCACTCTGCTTCTGAAGCTCGGGCATTTTTTGGAGCATGCTATGGGTTTTGGCTGGCATAGAATATATATGTGGCTTCCCGTGCAGCGTTTATCTGCTTTTGTTGGAGTTTAGAGGCTCTTGACGGATGCTACAAGTTGCGCCTGTTGTCCCCTTTCAGCCCCACCCGAAACCAAAAGCCTCAACGCGAAATCTGTTGACGACACCGCTTGCAAGAGCCCGCTTGAGTTTGCCGGCGAGTGCTGGCATGTGTGCACTACTGCGAAGACCAGAGATGGGATCAGCATCGTCCAACGAGAACACCTTCGGCACATGAGCAAATCGGAAGATGGGGTGTGGCTTCCTTGCGATAGCTTTTGCTCCCTTTCGAGTGACCTAGTGCGGGCCCTCGATGTTCCGAAGTACTCTGCTTTAGGCTTCAGGACTGCGGTTTAGCATGTAAGGGCTATGGGCTATGAACATGAAGACACCAGCAAACGTACCATCTGCATCCGACTGCTCTTATTCTCGCAACCAGGTAGCATTCTCGAGGTAAAATCCGGAGACCTCTCATACCTGCACAACGGCTCAACTTACATCGTATGGCCTTTGGGCCCAAAATATTTATTTGAAGAATGAATCTTCACACTTAGGCCATACCCTACAAGTCCCAAACGCTAAACCCTAACCCCGCAAAGTAAGCCCCGAAGGCAACTATGGCCCCTAAGCCCAAAAGCCCCAGAGCAGTCTCGACATTTGATCCCGAGGTGTGGGATTTTGGGGCTTTGGGTTTAGGGCTTTAGGGCTTAGGGTTTAGGGATGTTTACGGCTTAAGTCCTTCACCCTGAACAATTCAGGGTCTAGGTTGAGGGTAGACCCTAACTTGCTAAGCCCGGGCCGCAAGCCCTGAAACCCTTAAGCGCCATGATTTCCTTGCAGACGTCCTACAATCCTACAAGTTCCGTGGAAGCCCCCGAATCGGCTGAACTTAGGGGCCGTTTTGGGTGGGCAGTCCCTTCTCTTAAGAAATTTCATAACAATAACAGGGCTTCTTTTAACGGGCTCCTTTATTAAGGTTTCTATAAGGGCAACTGCAAGGGCTCTATGACATAGGGGCCTAAGTATCATGTGTTTTCCAACGATTTACATTACGGTTTGTGTAACCCTGACACAAAAACCTGGCCCCAAGCTCGTGCAGGCTTAAACCCTGCACCCTAAATGACCATAAATGCCCTTTGCTTAGTAGCTGAGTAAGAAGCTTTTGGGGTTCCTTTAATCCTACCACAAGTTCAAAGGTTAACCTTTCTTGGGCTAGGGTACTCAGCCCCTATACAAAGATCCCTAAACCCTAAACCCCCAAACACCCTAACCCCTAAACCGAAAAAAAGCCTTCTGTTAGCCGAAGCTGAGGAAGTAGATCCGTTAATGGGGTTCCTACAAAGTACCCTTCGTAGTGGTATGATTTATATAAGTCTCTAGAAAGGGTAGGTTGCTTGGGGTTAAGGTAAACCCTAAACCCTAAACCCAAAACACCCTAACCCCCAAACCTTCTTTGAGCCGAAGCTGAGGATTGAAGCTGCGCAATGGGCATCTTCTCGTCATAACCCATACCTCGGAACGCAACACTCGCGATCTCCACAGCACCTGGGTTTGGAGTACCATACTTGAATACGTTTTTGGGTACCTATTCCTCAAAGGAACCATTATGAATAAAAGTCTCTACTTTTTCTCCCTCGTTACTTCAAAGTCCAGAGCATCTTCGGCCCAGACCTGTTCAGTCGGTCCTATGCTCTTGGAGTTTTTCGGGGTTTCAAGGTTAGGAGGGGATCTCAAAGGGCGTCTCTCAGTGTTTTCAACTTTTTGAGTGTAGTTCCAAGGCTGTTTTTTGATGTTTTCAGGGCTTCGATGACTTTTCAGGGGCTGGTTTAAGGGCGTTCTGTTGGGGGTCTGGGAGCTTTGGGTACAGCGCAAGGTCCAAGTCAAGCACTCGAAGAGTAAGTAACTTCTCCGGCCCCCAAAATTGCTTATTTGCTGCCTTTACGGCCTGTAGTATACTGGACCTTTTGCTTCTTGCAGGTTCGGGATTCAGTGCTTAGGGTTTAGGGGTGCGAGGAGTGTAGGGTTTGCTGCTAAGGCTATCGGCTCGGGGGTTCAAAGTTCGGCAATACTGGTTTCGGCTTAAATGTCCTTTTTCATGGTTCCCCCAAAAGAATAAACAGACCGGCTAGTAGACCTTCTTAAATAGTTCCTACTAAGGGAAATAGGTATAGGGCTCTGTCTATTATTTCTAAAAGGACAAGGGTGTCGGCTTATCGTGTAGAACCATGCTTACTGAAGGTTTCAGGTGAAAGGGCCACTGATGAAAATGATGCGCTTTTTTCTTCGGGTCGCCCACTCGCCGGACTCTAGGACACATGAGCTGCAAAGAAGGATAAAGGGTTCAGCGACTAGGGCGTGCTAGTAACTCTAGACCTTGGACCCTAAACCCGGAGTAGACTAGCTGATGGTTTCGGGCACCCCAATCTCGGAATTTTCACCGGTTCACTACTACATCTACAACCCACCCTCGACGCTCAGCCCTAGCTCCAAGACTTGACGCTGAACAATGAACCCTGAAGCACTAAGAGCTGCATCCTTAGCCTGTTCTTCCTGGATTCTTAGTAGGTAATGCGGGCATGGATCCCTATGACAGTCTCGTAGTCCCTTTAACCCATTCCCTCCATTACCTACCAAGAACCGGGGGAGCTTTTGGGCTTTTGATTTCCGAGGTTCGCGGCCATGCTAACACACATCTCGGCGGCGCACAATCCTTACATCGGTTTCTTTCTCGACCACCGCCGTGCTGTAAAGGCTTGAAAAAGCCGCTCTCCCGGGGGCCCTTGTATAGGGTTGGGTTTTCAGTTTTAGCCTTGGGGCCTGAACAGCCAGAATGACCCTTTGGGGTTTGCTGTACAACAAGTAGATAGGGATTGCAACAAGATCCTATCACTGGTTATTAGGTCTACTGGGCTACGTGGAGTGTTAGGCTGAGTAAGCCCCGAAGTCAACGCTTTGAGTCGGTTGATGAGAAAGGGAGACGGTTCGGCGGCATTTCGGGACCCACTGCCTGCGAGCAAAGCAGATAATACCAGTCTTTGTGGATGTTATCTCAGTTTGAATGTCAGGAGTCTATAGTAAGAAGATAAGATCTCAATTCAAAAGGACGGAGCTAGGTGCTGGACAGAACCCTTACTGTATAGACCATGATAGAGCTGAGCAGGGAGTGGGGCTCGGAGAGGTGAGAAAAAGAGGTTACGAAGGGCTCGGAATGGCGTTGACGTCCCGATGCTTTTTGACCAAAGCTTTGATTTCCAACAGTAACATAGTCTTTGAGAAACTTGATATAGCAAGATTGCCCCGCTATGGTTCTTACAGGCAAAATCTACGAGTTCCCAGCTAGTGTTTGTGCACTTGGACCTTGGAGCTTTGACACCGCAGCACCTTGCTCCCTGTAGAGCTGCAAACCAGGCTCTTGATCCTTCCAGTATAACATAGGGTCCTTAACAGTAGGGTCCTTAAAAATCGAGTAGGGTTGAGGACGTATCATCATCATGTCCTTTACAACCTCGAAAACACCACAAAACCCGAAGCTCTCAACTAGATAGCTCCTTGAAATCTTCGCTTATTCAGCGATTGTAAAACACCGCTAACCTTAGGCCACCCGCAAGGCCTAAATCTCAGACACCCCAACCCGAAGAGCCTTGGACCCCCAAGGCCCAACAGCATGTAATTATATCAGACGATAAGCAAAAAAAAACTGCAATGCTTAAAGCTAAGAACGCAGCCCGTAGACACGAAGCCCAAAACCACAAGCCCTTGAATTTTAGAACCTTAATCCGTAAACCCTCAAGTAAACGCGAACCCTAGACTCCCTGGACACCAATCTCAAACTTCAGACTTTGGCAGCATAGAACCCTGATTACCTAGGGAGCCTTTATAGAACGGTCCTAGGAACCCTTGCAGAATCCACCCTTAAAGGAACCGTCACATTAGCCTTAATGGAGGCATTAAAGAACCCTTACAGCTACAATCTCTCACCCCTTCTAACCCTCTAAACCCCTGCAGATCCCTACAAACCCTCAACCCTAAACTCTAAAGTAAAAGCCAGAAAGTTGGAATATGATTATCCTAAACCCTTTATAGTAAATTAAAAGGTATCCTACCCTAAAACCATATTCCAACTTTCTGGAGTTCCCTTGAAACCCTTATGAGACCCTTGAAGCAACACTTACTTTCACCCGTATAACCCCCGTGATTCGCTGATGTTTGACCCAGGGTCCGAGCCCACGCTCAGGGCCGAGTGGAGCGTCAGTAGCCACTGCTGGGTTCTTGTTAAGGAACTTAAGGAACTTAATTTTTAAGCTACCATAATAGGGATCTACAGTAAATAAGATGGTTTCGTTATTATGGTAGCTGAAATTCCATTCCGTAACAAGAGCCCAGTAGCCACGGAGCCCAAGAGCCCCAAACTGCAGGAAGACTGTAGGAGCTTGAAAAATGGGAGTAGGGCGTCGGAGACTCCCAGAACCTCAAACGGAAAAACCCGAAGAGCCCTAAACCCTAAACCCTTAAAAAAAAGGCCCAACACACTCTTAAAAAAAAACCCTTAAAAGAATCAGAAGCATCCTTTCAAAACGCTGTTGTGCACCTACGCAGACTTCCCCTGAACATTCCTGAGCCCTACAGCATGTCATAGAGAACACCCTAATGAAGCCCCTCAACCGTAAACCGCCTAAACTAGAAGTTTGGCGGAGAAAGGGTTTAGGAATTTTTAACCGCCTCAACTAACTCCTAAACCAACTGAGCCCTAAACTCGATGATATTCCAGGGTTCAGGTTCCCTTATAAGCCCCTTTCAACCAAAAAGGGCACCCTTTTTAACCCACTAAACCTGACGTTCTGCCTGCGGATCAAAGGGGCTACTGCACATTAAAAACCTATACCCTAAACCCTAAACCCTATACCCTAAACCCTAAACCCTAAACCCTAAACCCTAAACCCTAAACCCTAAACCCTAAACCCTAAACCCTATACCCTAAACCCTAAACCCTAAACCCTAAACCCTAAACCCTAAACCCTAACCCTAAAACCCTAAACCCTACCCTAAACCTAAACCTATACCCTAAAAACCCTAAACCCTAACCCTACCCTAAACCCTAAACTAACCCTAAACCCTACCCCCTAAACCCTAAACCCTAAACCCAAACCCTAAAACCCTAAACCCTAAACCCTAACCTAAACCCTAAAACCCTAAACCTAAACCCTAAACCCTAAACCCTATACCCTAAACCCTAAACCCTATACCCTAAACCCTAAACCCTATACCCTAAACCCTAAACCCTATACCCTAAACCCTAAACCCTATACCCTAAACCCTAAACCCTAAACCCTTAAAAAAAAAACACTAAACCCCCAAACAGTCTTGCTCTTGGGCTCCCTCACATGTCAGAGCTCTGTGTGCCAGTGTGACTAGGATGCCCAGTAGTACCCTTAGGGATCTATAAGGGTTCCTTAAAGGGATCTATAAGGGTATAAGGGTTCCTTAAAGGGATCTATAAGGGTTCTATAAAGGGTTTAGGGTTTCCGAAAATTAGGGGCTAGGATGCCCAGTAGTACCCTTATTCCCTTTTTGCAGTCCTAGGTTCCTTATAAAGTTATACCCAATACCAAAAAGAGAGGCCTTTTTATTCTTAGGTTACTGGGTATCCTAAGTGAGGTATCCCAAACCCTACCTTGACATAGGTGGCGTTCAAAATTATGGCCCCCTTGTTCGGGTCCCAAATATAGTACGGCACCAAGTATTTGGGGTACCCCAAAAAGGGGACCTTAATTTTGAGAGCCACCCAGATGGCTGTGTTTGTCCAGGGCTTTTTTGTAGGGTTCGTCAGGATCTTGTAGGCAATCGATTGAGCCTTTTAGGTCTTTGAAGGCTTTGAAGTACCAAATCATTGCCCAGAGAGCCCAATACCCCTTGATTAAGGAATATAGCTTAAATCATAATATGAAGCCCTTTATAATTTAAGCCATATTCCTTAATTAAGAGGTATTGGGCTTTCTGGGTGGGTATGTTGATGTAGAGCTGATTAGCTGAGGTACTTGGACCACCGCTACCTTAACCTACCATGGCCATACTTTAGGGAGTGGCCCGTCTCCCCCATTTTCAGGGATAGCTGGGGCTTGAGAAGTTCAGACATGGACTTTCGCGATGATCGTAGAGGGCTGTACCATTTTTTTCAAGTGTGAACCCAGAGACTCCAATACCCCTTAATTAAGGAATATACCTTAAACTATAGTAGGATCCCTAATATGATTTAAGGAGTATTCCTTAATTAAGGGGTATTGGAGTCTCTGGGAACCCTCCAATCAAGGAGCCCTAAGGCTGATAGCGAAGTTGCTTTATATGCTAGGATGCCCAGTAGTACCCTTATTCCCTTTTTGTAGTCCTAGGTTCCTTATAAAGTTATACCCAATACCAAAAAGAGAGGCCTTTTTATTCTTAGGTTGCTGGGTATCCTAGTATGGCATCTTGCGCAATTCATGGGAGGTTTTGACTAGTAGGTATTTGGGGTGTAGGATAGCAGACAAGCTAAACGGCACGCATGGCCTTTCCTTGAAAAGTCCCTGGATGGTGCGGCAAGAGTTCGCAGAGGGGGCCGATTGTTTGGGCAGCAACTTCAGGGTGTGTTGTAGCCTTGCTTACAGGAGGATTTTGAGTAGAAGCCAGAAAGTTTAAGAACATGCGTAGCCCCATGCAATTCCAAGCAAAGTCAACCCCAGTACTAATCATCCATGACCCAGCCCAAAGGGCCCAAGTACCATTGTAGTAGGTACTTAGTAGGTGCTGGGGCCCCAAAAGTATATACTATACTATTACTTAAACCCTAAATCCTAAACCCTAGACCTAAACCGTAACTCTTCAGAGTTTGCTGTAGGTTCTTGGTCTTCTTTGCAGGGTGCCTCATCCCTAAACCCTCTGTCCTCGATTTCGCCGGGACTCTCTGGGGCTCTTAGGGTAAAAGCCCAAAAGTTGGAATATGATTCTCCTAACCCTTCTATGGTAAATTATAGGGTATCCTACCATGAAGCCATATTCCAACTTTCTGGAGTTCCCTGTAGGGTTAGGAGCTGGGGCCTTTTGCCTTCAGGAGCGCTGTAAGCTGTGGGTTCAGGGGTGCCCAGAGACTCCAATATCCCTTAAATTACGGAAGATACCTTAAATTATAGTAGGATCCCTATTATGATTTAGGGAATAGTCCTTAATTAAGGGATATTAGAGTCTCTTGGTGGCTTTAACTATATAGAGACGACGAAGCGAAGAAACCATGCATCCCGCCGCAATATCATGACGAGGCATTAACCTCTATACACCCCTACCCAGAGAGCCCAATACCCCTTAATTAAGGAATATGGCTTAAATTATATAGGGCTTCTTATTATGATTTAAGCTATATTCCTTAACTAAGGGTATCCAAACCGCAAGCCGATACACCAGCTGTGTCTGTCTGACTATCCCATGCTGCGTGTGCTGTTTAACATCCGAGTTTGCTCACGGAGCTCAACACCCCTTAAGGCAGAACTACATTACTTCTTATTTCGATCACCCGAAACGCTAAACCACAATGTCTATTCTCCGATTCAGGCGCTTACCGTTCTACGACCTAAAGGACCCCACCTAAACCCTAAACCGTAAACCATGTTCCTATTGGGCTCTCCGGCTTGTGGGAAGCCCTAAATTCGGACCTGCCATACAGTTAGGGTTTAGGGTTCACGGGGTCCATATTTCATAGAGACCCCGAGACCCAGAAGAACGGTTTACAA